ATCATCCCTCCATCCATTCATCCAGTTCAGCTGGGTACTTCTTGGGAGGAAAACAGATAAACACAGGTAGAAATCATACCTTTTCTCCTTGTTCTCCAGGCTCTCCCTGAGCAAAAGAACAAAGATTGAGTAACGTTAAGTGACAAAACACCTAATTAAGTAACATTGAACAAACCAGATATTGAACACATTAGGTGAATTATGTATGGTACTTTCTTTCTTGTTATATATAGTTTCTATAGGAAAAAAAAAAGGTATGATGAGTTTCCTGCAGAACTGGGTATGTATATCAATACCATATGTACTCTTAATTCTTGGCTTTTACAGGAATAAAGACATGTGCAGTGTTTCAAGATGATCCAGGCACAGGCTGGGCCACTGAGGAGCAGAAGAGAGTGACAGTTCAGTATCTGGAGAGACTTCTTAATCAGCTGCTTTTTATTTTGTCCAAACTCTAGCATGTCCTTCCACAAAACCCTTCACACAAAGCATCTCCAGGTGTGAGGATTATTTCCTGGGACTGGAGTTCCAGTGTGGTCTCTTCCTAACAGGATCATAAACCTGAGATGCTGAACTCGGACCCCTTCACAATGTCACATACTCCCTCTAACTGTTGATAACTAGCGTGTTCCAGGTGAGGTATATTTTAGGAGGTACGAATTCTTTCAAGGAAGACACGAGAAAGGGGCAGAATTTCAGTGAGTTTTGAAGAGACATCCGTAACTGAAATGATGACCCCAAAGACATGAAAATTACCATGCTCTCAAAAGAATTTCATTTTTACTTTACCCAGGAAAGGACAGGAGACGGGATGGGAAAGTTCTAAAGTCCATCACACACATTATGATAATATTTCCAGCTGAAAAGATTGAGGGTTGCCATGAGATGAGACTGCTTTTTAAAAAATGGTATAAGGCAATTATTGTGAGGTGTTTTTTTTTAAAAAAAAATGAAAATATAACCTACTCTAGAAGTCAGTTTGAAGGCAAGACCCTTTTCATTCTCCAGAACTCAACCTGACCCTTTGGCTCTCTGAATCTCTGGCCACCGTCACTTCTAAACATCCGTCCTGATGTCGGGTCGCTAGGCAACACAAGAATAGCACTGTGAATATGCATTAAGCATTAACTCCCATCATTTGGCTTTTTAACATGGAGCAAGAGAGGGAAGAAGACAGGAAAACGACTATAGTCCCAGAAGGCACATTTTCTTTCCTCCCCTGCAGGACAAAGGACAGGTCTATAAATTTTAGATCTGTCTGAGGCGCCTGTCAATAGCAATGTGATCTGTAAAATCAGCTGACAGGCATCTGTGGGTAGGGATACGCACCAGCACAGCTGATGGGATTAGGCATTAGTTTTGTACTTCAAGGGATGTTCACTCATCAAAGGATTTGGGATTTGTCTGCCTGTTTGGTTTAAACTAAATTGTCACCAATCTTTTTATATTTAACAGATTCATTTGTTCTTTAAGAAACAAAGAAAACATGTGATCCAAAAACAAAAGATCTTCATTACATTTTTTTCCCTATTTAGTAATTCAGAGCTACATTCATTTTTAAATTTTAAACATGCCACATCTTAATTCTGCTCTTCATCTGATTAAGTGGTTGTGTTGAGGAGAGGCTGAAGGTGGCCAGATCTTGAGGAAAAGCCACAGAGGCATGGTGAACATCATCTTTAGGAAGGTTTGTAAATATGTATATGTTAGGCAGTATGTAGGGGACT